TCAAAGTTTTAGACGGCTATCGATATGAACTAAAATCATTAATTAATAAGCGAACGTATAAATATTCTCATGAATGGCTAAGAGCGCTACCAAGCAGACAAATAATTAACGAATTAAACGAAGAATTCGATGGCCTCAGTGATGGCGATTCCCAGGAGGGGAACGAACTAAAAGACGACGTTAGTAAGCGTGCGCCTGTGTCCCAAGAGGGGAATTGAGGACCGCACCATAACAGCTGTCTCACAGGGATGAGAAGTGTTATGGCGGGGGTCAAGGTGATTGGGTGTAAGTGTGCACACCAAATTAAATTGAGAAACTAAGAGACAAATCTAAGTATGTAAAATCTGAATTATTGGAAAATTCTGATTAGAATTAAATGATATGAATAAGATCATGAAGCTGAAAAAGTATTGTGTTTGTAAACGAAAGGAAATTGTGTTTCCTAGATAAGAAAAATTGTCAGTTAATGCTTGTGTAAGCGGCTCTGTAAGTTTGTAAATTGTTAGAGAAAGTTATGTTATTAAAACTAAGAGATACCATAATTAAAAGAGTCTGGTATGCGACTTGGACATGGGTGGTGGATGTAGCACACGAGGACGTGTGATAGGTCAGGAAGGCCGTGTCGCAGTGTGATTCCTAGTAAATGTAGCATTCTGGTAAATTGGGGACTCGGGGAATTCCCTGCTTCTGCTTTACTAGCTGATATTGAGCGAAAGCACGGCAGCAGAGGCATAGACGCTCTGCTGCTGAGTGAGGTTCGATGGTAAGATACCAAGAGTCTTGAGTAAGACAGAGATGGCTGCATACGCTTGACTTGAGTGAGTTTATGACGTGAGCGCGTATGCTGAAATGGTCAGTTGGTGGAACTTGGGTATTCGAACCGATCGGAACTCGCTGTGCAGCTGCGTCAATTATCAAAAGTGTTGACATGGATAACATACCCTTGCCGCCGACCGACATACCCTTGCCGCCGACATGTATTTATTTGGTCGGAGAAGACTCCTTCACATCGTTGCAAACTTCTGACTGAAATTATAATATCATGCAAGGGTATGACAATAAACTATGGTACAGCTGGTCTGATCCGTTATAAGCTACTTTAGCTCTTGTAGACATAACCAAAGTTGTAAAAATTAGAAAATCGGAAAGATGTTTAAAAATGTTTTCAAGATGGATGAACTCATAACCGAAGGCAATGCAATTGAAAGCGCCATAAAAATGACATTTCCAGTAAGTCATTCATTTTAAATAAGCCAAAGATTTTAAAAGTGATAGAAGATAAAGGAGACAACAAAATAACACAAATAAAAAACAAATGAGGTCGTAAAAACATTGGGTCTTTACTGGGAACTCCATGAAGATGACCTTAAACTAAATGATAATGTAGATCTAGAAAAGAAAATAAACAAACAGTACTTTTAAACCTATCAAAAATATGTGACCCTTTGGGATGGGTAGTCCCAGTAATTATTATAGGAAAGTTGTTAATGCAAAAACTTTGATTGTCTGAAAATAGAAGATATCAAATGATTATACTCAAAAATGGAAAGTTTTTAAAGAAAAAATATCATTATTGAAAAAAGACCACAACAAATTCCATTATTTTATTAAACTTCACGAGTTTCCGATGCGTCAGAAAAAGCATATCGACCAGTATATGGAAAAGTTTGAAAATATTTATAATGGTACCTAAAAATTGGAGAACAACTCCAAAACTGGAGCTATGCGCAGCTTATCTAATTTTCAAACTATTAAAAAAATACGAAAAAAATTGAAGCACGAAGTGATTCTACCATAACTTTAGCTTGGATTGATCAAAGCCAAATTTAAGCTATCAATCATAAGACTGATAAAATTCTATTCTAAATTTTAGTATAAAGAGGCAGAGTGGAATCATGTTAAAGCAGAAGATAAGCGGAAGCGGAATCAAGAGGGATTTTTTTAGTGTCAGTCAATACTGTGTTTACAACTGATGGAATTATTATCTACTAGCGGCCCGTCCCGGCTTCGCACGGCCATTAAACTTTACATTTAGAGTTGTCAATTTTAACACATTCATAATAATAATAATAATATGATACATATTCATCCTTTATTTTTTTGTTTTTTTTTTCAATTATTGAGGTCATAACCCTAAAAGAAAATACATTTATTTTGTTAGAGCTTCTCTGTAAACAATATTTGATGTTTAATTTTGTGGCAGCAAAATAAATTGATTTTCATTGGCTCCGACTCACGATAGACCAACATACAGTTGACCATGAGTAAAACATTTCTTTCGCAGATCGATCCATACTAATTCGAAGGTTTTGCCTTGTGACTTGTTAATTGTTAATGCGAAAGATGTTTTTACCGGAAATTGAAGCCGTTTAAATGGGATTGTCATATCATTTTGGATCATCGGTATCCTCGGTATATGAGCTAGTTGACCACCTGCTGGGCATATTATGGTTAAGAGGGCACTTCTGAATACATCAAGGTTCTGGCAAAATCATCTTCCTGGCATAAGGTGAAGAAGGCAGTCAGAGTTGTCGCTGGCGGATTCAGGACTCTTTCTTGCACATTTATTTCTGTGAAATAGACACGTTGACCATTCTCCAAATGGAGTGCCAAGTGAACTAAAGCTGGATAGCGTTCATGAATGTGGAATGAAAAAGTTCTCCATGCAGCCTCGTTGCTGCTTATGTATCTTCCAGCCTGTTATTGAGATATTTCATCGACAACTCGTACTGCATTGTTGTCACCATTTTCTGCCTGAACACCAAAAACTGCCATATCGCTGCCTTTATTCACGTACTTGCAGATATATTTAATCGATTTCACGGAATTGCAATATTCTACGTTGATGTGCGCTTTGTATGATTTTGACAATAGTGTTGAGTATGGAACCACCCAACGATTGTCTACCTCAATATCACCAATTCTCTGTTTAAATTTGCCGAAGTCCCTCCTTCTTCAGTTGACCGTCTCCTATACAGAGGATATCCATCGACCACATGGGCCATGGATCATGTTCTTGATGACAACTTCATGCAAATCCGTATCAACCTCGGCCCATGGAATCTCAGCGCATATAACATCGTCGATTTCATCTCGAGTAATTTTATCATACAGCCAAATCAGTATGTGCGCATGCGGCAATCCTCTCTTCTGCCATTCTACTGAATACATCCAGCACCGCACAGATCCAAAAACTCCATGTTTCACAATAAAATCCATCAGTGACTTGAGCTTTTGTCTGAAAACACGGGCTGTGATGTCATGCCTATCCCTATACGATTGTCCAGGAAATAACAGCTGTACTATCTCGTCCCAAGCTGGATTGCATGTGAAGGTGATAAATAAGTCTGGACGGCCGTAGCAACGAACATATGCCATGGCATTTTGACCATATTCATGCATGTGGCGTGGACTACCTATGTATTAGGATGGCAAAATCGTGAGCTTTCCAACGTTGGTTGTATTACGGTCATTCATCACAGCATCCCGCAAATGGATATATTCCTCTGACCGAAGGTTCAAGCCTATCTGCTCGTCTTTCTGCTGATTTTTCGTTATGCATCTGCATTGCTCTCAGCCGCTCAGTCTCTCGGATGGAGGCCCGTTCTTCGTCAGTCATATTCGTAATCTTACGTCTTTTTGCTTCTGTATTGCGATTACGACGACCCAAACTCGACTTCTTGGGTGGCATGACTTCGTTTCTTACTGAACCTGAACAAAAAAATTAAATTTTTATCTCCAATTCCTTATTTCAATACGTTTTGAATGAAAATGCTTTGATTCAGCTGGCTGCCTGTAGAGGGCGGTAGTTTTTTGATATTTTTTTAACACCTTGGATTACGTTATCGTAATTTTAGTAAGGATGCCTTTTTTTTTAAATGAAATATAGCCTATGTCACTCAGGAATGATGTAGCTTTCCAACAGTGAAAGAATTTTTCAAATCTGCCAAGTACTTTCGGAGCCTATTCAATTCATACAAACAAACAAACAAAAAATCAAACCTTTCCTCTTTATATAATATTATAGATAGATAATTTGTAGGGAAATTATTCATACATCTAAAAATTAAAATCAATATGCTCGTGAAATTTGTTAATATAAATGTAAGAAACAAATCTTATCCAAATTACTTAACGGTTAAGGAACTTAAATATTCAGAAATAATAATATTTAACAAGAAAGGAAGCTAACTTCGGTGCGCCGAAGTTTATATACCTTTGCATATAGAACTTCTATGAATAGGAATCCATACAATATAGATTATATATATTTGTGTTAAAAAACAATGAAGTAATACCTGCTTTCACCTATGTGATATAGTCGTCCGATTTTCATAAAATTTGACACAAAATTTAAGACTAATATAAAACGGCTATACCTCAAATTTGATGAAAATCTGTTGAAAACCGAAAAAGTTATAATTTTTAATTGTATTAATTTCTCGATCGTTCCTATGGGAGCTATATGATATAGTAGTCCGATTTTCATAAAATTTTATGCAAAATTTTAGAGTATAGAAAAATAGCTATATCTCAAATTTGATCCAATTCTATTGAAAACTGAAAATGTTATAAATTTTTTTTGTAAAAATTTTCTGATCATTCCTATGGCAGCTATATGATATAGTCGTCCGATCCGGCCCGTTCCGACATATATACGATTGAGAGTATATAGAAGGCTAACTACAAAGTTTCATTCAGATAGCTTCAAAACTGAGAGACTAGTTTGCGTAGAAACGGACAGACAGCCGCGAAGGCAGATTGTGAGCAGGGAACACCTCTTAGTAGATAAAAATATATCGAAAGAACATCGAAGTTTAAATTTGTATACCCTTGCAGGGTACTAATACGAATTGACGGCCATAGCTAGATCAAGAATGGGTCCGAAAAATCTCCTTTAGTGTTTTAATAAATTTCTAACTGAAATTTTAATACTCTGCAATGTCATAAATATGATTTCTGATAGATTAATAGTATGTCTTACCATTCTATATTTACAGAGAAAAGAAGCCCAATTACTTAAATCATTTTTACCACAGAAATATGAATATGTTTTATTTATTCCAATGACGTCAGTTCAGGTGCGTATAAAAATTTTGAATATTAATAATTTAAATAATCTGAATCATTGTTTTTTAAATATATTTCATTAAGAATCTTGAATTAAATAAATAATTATAAGTGTGGTTGTTAATAAGGGGGAAACAGTCCCTAGTTAATCTCCTGAATTCATTCAGCAATCTTTCCAATGTAGATGCATTACGTAGTGACTGGGTATATCACTGCGAAAAGACATGATTTTTTTCTATTTGGCAGATTGAAAAGTTTCTCCTCCATCTGCCTTTTGCTTGTGCGTCTCTCTGCCTCTCTAATTTGCTTAGGAGCGCTATTCCTTTAAAAGTTTCTCCGCGGTCTCGTAGTGTTCGATGCCCTAGTGGCTGGAAACTTAATAGATCCGCACTGTCGTTGTCGTTCTTAAGATTTCTAGGGCGTCTCCGCTTGCCCGTAAAATTTTGAAACTGACCTCTAACGACTAAATGTCTACGAACAAGTTGACCGCCTCCTGTGGACGGTCTATTTTCTACGCAAGCTCTGCAGTCTACGCAAGCTCTGCTCTCTTGCGAAGACATCCGCCTGGAATATGCTGCATTGGTTTGGTAGCTTGCATAGACTTGTGTCAGGTTCCGTGCAGTATAAGCCCTTTCTTACTCCTCCTTCTATCTTGGAAAGTATAAGTGTGGAAGTGTTGAACATATTGTTTTGACATTCGGGTAAGTTTTGCGTATCATGTAATCAGATATAATGATCATTGAACTACCAGGTGAACTAAGTCTGAATCCCTTGAATATGAGTGCCTTTGTCTTTGTCTTATGTTTCCGATATTTGGAGGGATCCATTCTTTAAAGTTTTGGTAAAAATAATGACGTCCGTATTGTCCGCATTGATACTGATTCCTTCTCAGCCCACCTAAAAATCTCTTTGAGAGAGATTACAAATTCTTAGTGTTAAAGGACAAGCTCCCTGATAATTATGCCTATATCGTCTATCTTAACCCGCCTTGTTGCCAGCTTCTATGAGCTTCCTTCACCATGGATACCGTGTTCCAACCAGATTGTATACGCCAACATCCTTGAGAGGTTTGGATGTAGGGGTTCATTATTCCTTTTTTCAATACACCGGATAAGTCCAAAAACATTCCGAGACCTTTTTCCTTATGTGAAATGCTCTTTTAATGGTGGCTTCTACCGACTGTGGTGCCGTTTCCACCGATATTTCTTTAAAGTATAAATGAGGAACGCAATCCAAGGGGTCCTTCATTGGATAGGGATATATCCTGTGCTTATGCCTGAGTCATGGGGTGATAACATTTCTCTTATCACCTTTAGCATGGCTGGGAATATTCCGTCTAGTCCCGGTTCTTTCATCCCCGCGAAGGATATTATAGCCTAGTGGATTCTTCTAAAGTATATTAGATCGGTTGGGAGATGCTCTTCTTCAGTTTCTAGGTCCTGGTCCTTTTTGGAAAGTGTTAACGTCCACTGGGTTTCCTTTCTATTTGTGACGATGAGATTGAGGTAAATTTAAATAAACAAAGGTCAGATTCTGAAAGTAAGCATATTCTTTTCACACAGCGGAGATGGCTAGATCGAATCGGCTGTTAATGCTGATCAAGAATATGGTTCTGATGGTCGGAGGTAACTCCTTTACTCCAAGGGTATCAAAATAAAAACTGAAGTCCAAGCAATGCTAACGTTTTAAATTACATTTTGTAAATTTATTATACCTCTGCAGGGTATTATAATATCAGTCAGAAGTTTGCAACGCAGTGAAGAAGGCACCTTTGATAAATATATATATATATATATATATACATATATATATATATATATATATGATGAATATGTATATTGGGCAACCATACATATATATTGGGCAAGCTTCGCCCTATTCTGCGCTGAACACCGATCTCCACAATTATCTACATAAATACATATATATTGGGCAAGCTTCGCACTATTCTGAGCTGAGCAGCAAAACCCAAACACAAAGGAGTGTTTTTAATTGTCTTCAATTTAGCCGCCGTAGTAGTTTTTTGGGTCCCTCACTCACCACTGCTTTGCCGACGGCTTGTCCCAGTGAGCTCTTCTCCGTGAAACGGAGGTTTGTTTTTAAGTTCTACCTTCCCGGCGTTTAAATAATTAAACATCTGCGGCTCATAACTTCAAAAATTAACAAATAGTTCAACCTTCATCAATAGAGCCAGAATTTGAATTTGATTAATTAATTTAAGTTAATTAATTTTTAATTTAATCTTTTCAACTTAGCCGCCGCAACGGTCGTGTTGTTCGTTCCGCTTGCTTCTTTTGAGTTCAGCACATCCGCACTGCTGTGCCGACGGCATGACCCACTGAGTTTTTCTCTCGAACAAAGCCAAGGGTTTATTTCGACCATTTCGGATCCGTGATGAATAAATTTGGCAACAATTACTTTCGGCCAATATGTTCCTACATCCGCCGTATTTAATTTATTACGGGATCCATCCACATTTCGTGACCAATTTTCTGAGCTAAATAAAAGCAAACTCCCACGTCCGAGCTACTTAACACACACCAAAAATAAAGTGAAAAATACAAGGATTTTAATTTGCAAATTCACTACTATTCAATACTAGCCCGAACTACCACACCAATATACAAAAGAATTGTAATTTCAAATTAAAATAAAAAATATTCCTGTGCTTTAATTATGGCCGATTCCGTCAATCCGTTTGGGAAGATCCCGGTCCGCATCTCCGCGACCCTCTCCGCTTAAATTAAAGTCCACTGCTGTCCGCTCAAGAGCTAGCCCAGCTCCATTGTCAAGGCTCACTCGGTCGACCACAAAAATGGCTCAAACCGCCATCGACATTGCGTTGAGGAAGTTTATTCCCACGACAGACCGTGTAAGTCAATTTGAGGCAAAGATCCAAACTCTAGGCGCCCCAGAAACCACCCAACTCTCCTTCCACGTGTCAGGTGCGTCGCGACCAAATCCGGGCTTTGTGGGAAAAGGTGGAGAAGAGTTACGAGAGCTGCTCCGAACTGCTCTCCGTGTCCGACGACGGCGCGGACACTTCAACGGTGTTAGAAGCTAAGTATAGCTACTGCTACTCCGTCTATTTCAGGTGTGTGGCCCAGCTGCAGGAGATAATAGAAAGGGGCGCGGCCCAGTCAACTCTGGCTTCCAGCAGCGTTCACACACCCCCTTCCACTGGTTGTCGTTTACCATCGGTAGACACCGAGGTGTTTGCGGGCGACTATCTTCGCTGGCCCACCTTCAGAGACCTGTTCACGGGGATTTACATCAACAACCCTCGTCTCACCCCGGTGGAGAAATTGTTCCACTTGCTATCCAAAACAACTGGCGACGCGAACGCCATAGTTTCCAAGGCCCCGCTCACCAATGAAGGTTTCGTCTTAGCGTGGCGAAGCCTCACCGACCGCTTCGAAAATCGAAGATTATTGGTTAACAGCCAGTTAAAAATCCTTTTCAACATCCAGGCTATCCCCAAGAGTCCGGAAGCGCGCTAAGAGAGCTGCAAGGCACTATACAGAGTTGTCTAACGGCATTAGAGATGACCGCCATTCAGGTCGAAGCCTGGGACTGCCTCCTGGTGTACATGGTTTCCTCGAAGCTCCCCAAGCTCACGCTCTCCATGTGGGAGCAATCTATCCACAACAAGAACAAAATTCCAACTTGGAACGAGCTAGACGCGTTTCTGACCGAACGCCATCGTACGCTGGAGGCCATCGACGACGTTGTGCCTACCAGCTCAGGGCATTTTCCGCCAAAGTTGTCGACTCCGAGGCCCCAGCGCCCCGGTTTCATTCTTCCGACTTCAGGGTGACTCCAACACCAAGAAGGTGTGACCTGTGTTCACGGGAAAACCACCCCCTGCGAAGATGTCCCCGTTTCCTCAAAATGACCGTAGTCGAGAGATCAAATATCATCCGAAGAAAGCAACTCTGCTTGAATTGTTTGGCACGAGGACATCAGCAGCGAGATTGCCCGTGTCCATTCCTGCTTTACATGCCGTAGATGGGCATCATACCCAGAACTGCATCCCAGAAACTGTTCCTCCAGTGTTCAGATTGCTCCTGAACCTTCCAGCCCAGTAACCGCACCGATCCAAAGGATATCCGCGTTCTCCACGCGAATCACTACTCCCAACGCCTTCGATTACTGGGTACCCAACGACATCAAGAGCAGACGTTCCCGAGGTATTTTATCCTACCCATGCCGAGTCTGCAGCGGAATCCATTCTCTTCGAAAATGACACAAGTTCCCCAGGCTTAGTGCTGAGAAGAGGCTCAGCGCGGTGTCCACCAACCGCTACTGTTCCAACTGTTTGGCCCACGAACATTCCCAAGGCAAGTGCCGCAGTGGTGACCGATGCAAGACGTGCAATCAGCCTCACCACACCCTGCTGCATATGCCTGGAAGTCCAGTTCCCGCACTTCGATCGCAGCATCGGATGACTCCGTGCTTATTTACTGACCGCTCTTCTAAATTATACATTTTTTTCCAGTCCACTTCGAGAAGATGCCACCGCTTCGCACCACGCGAACGCTCAGGAGGCCCTTCGCGGCGCCGCCTCTGTCCACCAAGTATTCAAAGCTTTGCCGTTCTTGCACTGCCGCAAGTCGGCTCTTCGCGCACTGCTCATCGGGTTAGTCTAAGCGCTACCGCGCCCACTCTTCGATGTTCGCGAACGTCCGCTCCCGAGTTCCCGAGCTTCGCTCGCTACTAGGCGAGCTGAGGGACGGCTAGTTCGCGCTCCACTTCTCGGGCCGCTCTCGCACTGTTAAGCTTAGCTTATCGGTCAGGAGCGCAGCCCTTATGTTTAAGCTAGTTAGTTCTATGTATGATGCGTAATAAAGCCGAAGCACTCATTCGAGCTCCACGACGCCCCCGACTTATGATTTTATCCACTACGGGTTAAATACTTTCTGACAGCGTCGCGGCAGCTATTTTCCAGTACAGGATCTTTAGCGGCAGGATCGCCCCCCTACAAACAATCCATAACGAGCTCTTT